ATTAGAATGCCGAACTGAAAACAGTTCTGTTCAGCCTCCGTTGGAGAGCAGGATTAGCTGCCTCGGGTTGATTGGTCGGCAATCGGACGAAGCCTGACTCGCATTAACCAATTGACATGTCAAAAGTTTCGATTATCAGATGTTGCTGTTGGTGTTGCCAAATGGAAAATGGCGTTGGGCCAAGAGAATAATCGGTTTAGAATTGGCGCGCACTAAAATAATTTTAGTGTTAATTTTATTTAAAATGCCAAAAGCTGGTGTTGCTGGAAACTTTCACCGTCGGCGACAAGCGTTAGGCTAATGCCAATTAGATGGCAACGTACTCTGACCTGGGTTGGGCTGAGTGTCGAGCAGGGACGGGACGGCGACAGGGATGCAGAGTTTTTGCTTTGGCTTGGGCGGGATGCGACCGCCAAAACATTTGCCGATTAGGCACGCTGATTATGCGATTCCCTTTAATCTTTGCGAGCAGACAAATTTCAAAATATTCAGATTGTTGGAAGAAATAAAAAAGAAATAAAAATTTGAGAGCAAAATAATAATAAAGAAAACCCAAAACGGGAATGATTGACAGCCCGTAAACAGTGGGCAAATACCCAGGACATTAATATGCACTTTAAGTAAGTTTTTGCGTTCAGTCATTATTCAATTAAAATTCACAACGACAATGGGACGTGATAGCTGGGGGCGGAGCCTGTCCTTTTTAGCTTTCTGCTTATAATATAATAAAATGTGCCGCAGGTTCCAAAAATGTTATTGGCTGACAAAAGAAGGCGCCACAATGTGCTGCTGTTTATGTCGAAGATGATAATGATGATGGTGATGATAATGATGAGGACGCTAAGGCTGTTAAATGGTAGCAGCAGAGACTGCCCGGAACAGTAAATGTCTCCGACTGACAGCTAACAACGTAAGCAACAAGCTGCGGCCAGCTGGAGTTTTTGGCTCTGTCAAGTCTCGGCTGTCAAGCGGCGACATTCCGGTAGCGTTTACACAGCAAACGATTTTCCTAAAATCCCCTTCCGCCAGGCCTTGTTGTTGTTATTTGCAAGTTTTATAGGCCGGCAGTGGCACAAATTTAACTTTTTAATTAAAGCCATGCAATTGTTTTGGCCGCCGTTGCCGCCCCAGACATGCACCAGACAAAAGAAACAGCACAATGCAGTCCAAGTAAAAAGACAGCAGTCGCAGCAGCCGCAGTAGCAGCAGCATCAACAGCAACAGCAACAGTCAAAGGGGTGGATGGAGGGGCGGAGATGCCAGCGCAACAGGCAAACTTGACACAAAAAGGGGAAACAGACAAAAAAGTACATTCAAAAGGCGACGACGGCGGCACAGAAAAACAACTTAATGTACACTAGTTGCGGATGATCGACTAGGATATACCCTGATTTGCTGTTGCAAATATATTTCCTGTACATACATGTACAACAAGAGATGCCACAAGCACGCACGCACCCTTCTCTTTACCCCGCTTTATGTGTGGGAAATGCATTTTTCATTAACTTCGCTGCTTACAGTCCGATTCTTCTGCACGCTTAGCCCAAGGCATAATGGGCAGAGATATCGAAGAAAAAATATCTTATATGCTCGCTTGCCTGTTTTATACATTTGCTCGAGCCATTATTTCATTCACTTAATGATCGACTGCGACTTCACAGTAAGTAAACTTGGTCGGCGTTTGTTACCATCCGAGCTAACAAAATTATCTTCTAAGCTTTTCTTCCAAGCTGTAGAAATTTTAGTCGCTAGACCTATCGTTGTTTCTACAAATGTGTTTCAAATCATAGCAGACATCGACTCATTTACAACTGTAAGGAATTAAGTAAACAAATCAGTCTCGTGTTTCCTATCGAGTCAAAAAGTTGTGCGGAAGAGTTAAGAAACTATATAAAATATGTCCAGTTCGAGTGAAGAAAAACGTTTGACGCAATCCACTGCGTTAGGTGAAAAAACAACTGAAAACGAGCAAGAAAACGTAGGTGGAGTTGACGATCTAACAGAATGTAAAAGTGAAGATGATTATGAGGATGATGTCCATGATGTCGTTGATGACGATGATGATGATGATGATATAGCTGATGGAATAGCTGAGGATTTTATTGAATATGTTATGGAATATGTCGGTGATGATCTAATTGATGGGTTCATCGAAAAATTAACTAATGGGAGAACTAAAGAAGAAATTGATGTAAGAACTGCAGATAAAAGTGAAGATTATATTCAAGGTATGTTCGTAAATTAAAGTTATGATATAATTTTAAAAACACTGCCTAATATAACAGAATGCAAAGCAGATGAACTTATTAAAAATGTGCTCGAAAGTACCAATATAGACATGATTGAAAAGGAAACTGAACAGCTTACTGGAATGTCAGATGATTTGACAACTGAGAGTGCAGGTGATGACGATGATGATGATGATGATACAATTCGGGAAAATAAAACTGAACACTCTGTTATATATTTAATAGAATATATAACAGCGTTTGTAGCTGAAGATATAATTCTTAGCGCAACTGATAAAGTGACGCAATTTGCAAGTGGAGAGTTAACTGAAAGATTGATCAAATGTATTACAGAATATGTAGCCGATGATATAATTGAGTCGGTAGTTAATGTTAAGAGGAGTGCTATCATTGAAACTAAAACCGAACAGATAACCGATTTTATAATGGGATTCATTTCTGATAATGAAATTTTACACACGATTTTAAATTTAAGCGGTCTCAAAATGATGCGTAAAACGAAAGACTTAAGTGGAGCTCTCACGGGCAGACCAATTGACTATTTGACTAATGAGTTTATTCAAAAACATGCCAAAGGCAAAACCGGTAAGAAATCTCGGGATTTGATTGAGCCCTTAGCTGAACAATTGACCGAAAACTTGGCTAATAGCATAATCAATGCCATACTTTGTAAACTAAATCGAGACACAGCGGAGCATCTAACTGATTATGTAACCGAATACGTAACCGAAGACCTTCTCGAAGAACTTTGTGAAGAGCTCAGTGACGATACATCCAAGTGCTCGGTCCGAACATACACTACATATTCTAGCAATGATGCAACAGTCAGAAATTGTGACAGCGATTCGGAAGGAACGAGCCCCAAAACAAGTTCAACTGCTGCGAGCGATACGTGGAAAAACTTTACAGATGAGGAGTATGAGAACGGTTTTGCGGATTGCACGGTCAATCAGCGATCATTTTTCACCTTTGTGCATGTCCAAAAGAAACCCAATTATATTGTGAATGTGCCGAAGAGACCGACACTCGAGCAGCTTATACGGGAGATGGTGAATGAGAATCTGGGCGCCAGCATGCGCATTAAGATTGGAGACCGACCTTTCGATTGTATACCCAATTTGCTGAAGGTTAATTCGCCTTGGTTCGCCAACAGAGATTGGCATGAGGAGCATTTCCAGTTCAGGGAGGAGGATGTGCCCATATTGGCATTTGAGCTCATCTATAAATGGTTGCGCTTTCAGACGCCAATTGCTCTCAGCGATGCCATCAAGGTGCTGCAGGCATCCAGGCACTTGCAGATAGATCTACTGGAGTCCGACTGCTGGGATCTGCTCTCCCAGAAGCATGTGCGCGAGAAGGTTGCCTTTCGCTTGTTCTTGGAGGCCGAAAAGATGCCAGCTCTGGAGGATGTACGGGAGATTATGTTGAGTCGTGTGCGCGGCTATTTCTTGGCCCTGGTGGGCAGTGAGGATTTTCTTAACTTGAAGCTCGACCAGCTGTTGAGCTTGCTGAAACGCGACTCAATTGGCGTCAACTGTGAGGTTGAGGTGTTCTTTGCGGCTGTTCGTTGGCTAAGCAAATCGAAGAACCGGCTGGAGCACATGCAGACGGTCATGAGGTGTGTGCGGTTTGCATATATGCCGATGCCAATGTTGTTCAGAATTCGCGCCATGGGCCTTGCGGACGAAAATCAGCCGATTGGCAGTACTGAGCGTGTACTGCAGGAGTTTCAAAGGCATCCGGAAATGCCACAAATGCTCTACGATGCCATGACATATATAAGCTTGCACTTTCAAAACGAAATGGAACCGGATCCCATTGATCCGGACGATGAAATTCAGCAGAAATTGGTTTATCCGCGTCGTTGGATATATCACCCGAAATGCCCCTACCACAAGGCACGCCTCGTCTATCCCTACCAGCATAGCCTTACCCAGCAGGAGTTCGACAACTACGTTTGCATGATACAAAAAGATTGGATGGGCGAGGAGCCGCCAGTAGACGCAGTGCTCGATGTGGAATTCGATGGAGTTGTGAAGCTTTCGCCAAAATTAAGCAGCGAAACTTTGGCACGCTAAAAGGCAAAAGTCATAAAATAATCATAACAAAAGAATAGAAAACGAAACGAAAGAGTATAAGCAAGTCGCCTAACCCCATGTAAGCTCGAATGAAAGTGTTAACAGTTTACAATCACATTAAAACTGAGATAAGTTTGCATTTTATACGCAAGCCAATAAGAACGAGGAACAAGCTAATAAGATACAGCTACTGTGAAACATTATACAGCCCACGCACTCAAATCGAAGTGTGAAACATTTCTTTTTATACCCTTTACCAAGCGAAAGTGAATGACGAAAAGGGTACATAAGTTTTGCCGAAGACTTTGTATCAGCAGATAACTAAATTATGTTAATATATTTTTTTTTTTTTTTTGTAATAATTTTCATATCTTCAATAATAATTCGTTTACTGCCAACTCGCTTGCCAAAATGTTACTCAATTATGACTGCACGCCTCCAGCCATAATTTATAGCACTATAATTATAGCGCACTCATTTATTGCACACTAGCACATCTAGAGTGTCAGTTTCTGTGTACGCATGTGTGCAGTTGTGTTTTGCGCTCCGCACAGTCTGTAATTTGCATTTTATCAGTCGTGTGTTTAATCTTTTGTGCTCCGCATTGCCTTTAATTTGCATTTAAATTGTTGGTGTTGAATTCAAAATTTACAAAAAAAAAAAAAAAAAAAAAAACCGTGTGCATACATATATCTGCATGCTTGTCCGATTTTCTCGCGAGTGCATTCAAGTTCTGTAAGATGTATACGGTTATTAATTTGTGCAATTAGTTTTCTGTTTTATGCTTTCTGCTTTCTTGGCATTCCAATCGCATTGAGCACTTGTTGTTGCTAAGCCTCTATAACGTTCTTCTTGTTGTTGTTATTCTCTTTTCCTCTTTGTCAATGCTTATTGCTGTTCTTGTGTGCAGTTGTAATGTATAAATAGATAACGATCTTTTGCTCTCCCTCACTCCCAATTTCAGTCTGGGCTTTTATCTGCTCTCTGTTGTTATCTGCTCTAGTGTTGTTGCTTACGCTGTGAAGCTTCCGTTAGTGCTGCACAGTGGCTCAATACCTATTATGCGCCCATTGAAAATAAAAGTCAACGTTTTTTTTTTTGTCGTCCATTATAAGACTTCGCCTGATTTATATGTTGATTCGCACGATGCGAATATGCTTAAAAGATTTTAAAACTTAAAATGTTATCTCGATCATCCAGGACCCATATATTGCAGGTGAGTTCGCATTAATTAATATTTAAGTGAAACGAAAAACTATTGTGAAAAATTATAAACTTTCTTTTCTAATGTTTATCAAAAGATTGGATTATAGCACACACGTGCACAGGTGCACAAGTTTCTATGTATAAAACTGTTTCTCCTGACTAACTGACTGACTGACTGATTGGTGATCAACGCACAGCCCAAACTGTAAGAGCTAGGGAGTCACTGTAGTTACCTTCTGTGATGAAGGTGCACGTTAAGACGGGAAAAAGCTTAGTATGCTTACCATTCCTTGGTGGAAATGGGGGTCAAAGATTTGGTGGACGACGTTTCACGCTCAAATTCATTTTCAAGGGTCTATATGGAAAATCATTTGGGACGTTATTTTTAAGGCCCTTCACATGATTCGCAAAATCTAAACTGCTTCGTAGAAACGCGATTAAATGATTTTTTGGGCGAAGTTTTTATTTTTGTCCAATATGCTTTATACTTATTTGTAAGGCCCTACATAAAAACTTATAGAATATGTGTTTTAACGATTTTCACCCGCAACAGTGGTAAATTGGTGGTAAACGTTTGTATGAAAGTTGTTTCCTTATCGTTTCATCAGTTTCTAAATCATTTATTTTATACGTGCCACGGGCAAGGCCGGGCTATACCCACTCATGTCACACAAGGTGTGAGACGGCAAATATTACGCATACGCAATGCTGTTTGGCGTAATTGCAGAGTGCAACTCGTGTTACCAATTTATTTGCCATGCTTACATTGGTGATAAGTCAACAATTTTCAGCAAAAATTGCAGCACAGCTCGAAGCAGCCAATACACAAGGAGTCGCTCAGTATGAGCGACATATATGGAGGGGGCATAGCTTTAGCCAACTAGTTGATGTCCACTATCAAAGCAGCTGTGTTTTTGTGTGTGCGTGTGTGTTCGTGTGTGCACCTTATTGACAGTTGATTCGGACTTTAATTGCACAAAGGGAAATTTGAAATCTGAACACTAATTAAAACAGCTCAACGGGATTATGTCGGTGTCTTTGTGTCCTCAGCTTAGAAACCGCCAGCTGCACTCAAGCTGATTTGCTGCATATTTTGACGTCGTTTATTATCATTTATCCTTGTTGTTTAGATTTTCCACTTTTTACGGAGCTGCTGCAATTTTTTGTTTTACGATTTCTGCATCCATTTTTATGCTAACGATAAATGTGGATTTCGAGACGTGGGCTTTTACGCGTAACTCGAAGATTATTAGCACTAGTTAATCCAAGCTTGGTATGGATATTCTGATGTTTCATACGCAGATTAGAACTTTTTGGATAACTTCCCCAATTCCCTGAAATTAAAGAAAAATCCTTATTTTTAAAGAAACAGCACACAGAACCCCTGAAGCTATTCAAAAATGTATTTTCCAGTGTAGGGAAAAGGGAAGAATAAGCAGAGCCGGAGTAAGGCACTTGGTCAAAGGTATCTCCAAGTCGTTTTTAGAGTCTGTCTTTGGTTTGTGCGCATATTTAGATGCTACATTTTGGGCCTGTTTATGCCAATGTTTATTCGAATGCTTTTAAAGGCAGTCAATCGCTCAGTACAGGGTATCTCCTAGTCCTGTTTAGAGTCTGTCCCTATAAGTGCAAGCAAATGTGTATATAGTGTACATCGTCTAACGGCCATGTCATTCTTTAACTTTTTGTTAATTTAAAACTTATTTAAATATATCCACATTTGGTATTGGTACAGGTTATAGGTTGTGCCTTTAAAATTGGCCAATTACACAAGCCTCTTGGCACAAAGGCTCCCCTTTCGAGTATGTGTGTAATGGGTTTCAGGATTTAGGCCCAATCTTTGCTACAGACATTTTGCGCCAACATTTATTGGATGCAGGGTATAAATACATTTTCCGGAAAATCGTAATTGAATTTTGGCCCTTATTAATTTACTGTTTGGCCAAATAAAGACGCAAAGTGCAAATTGTGTGAGTCTTTAATTTGTGCCTGGGGCGACGATCTGGGCTTAGCATCTATCAAATGTGGCTGGACGGGTGTCGTTAATTATATATTTCTATATAAGCACGGACACACACACACACGTACGTTTATATATAATTTAATGTATGTTTATTAGCGGCACTGAGGCCACTCGATTTATGTTTATTATTATAATTTATTGCGCGCATTATAATTCATTTGGACAGGCGTTGCTCGACTTGTTTATCCTTTAGTTTTGGCCATTAATTAAGTGCCGCTCGTTGGTTACTAATTAAAATTAAAAGTGCTGCTTAATTGGCAACAACAGCAGCTGTTGATGCCAATACCAATTTCCACACGCCACCTGCCGCCAGCAGCCCGCCGCCCGCCTCTCCCCGGCGACCGCCTCTTGGCGTTTGTTGTGCATAGACTGCTGACACGCCCCTCGTCCCGAACTAATTTGCTTGGTTGCCCATTAAGTTCTCAGATGGCAAGCAATTCAAAAGCGTTTTATGCCGCACAAATTAAGCATTTAACTGCAGCAGATTCTCTGTCTATGTCCGTCTAAATGTCCTCGGCTGGTCAGGAGCGGGGCGGGACGCGTCCCTTTTTCAGGACTAGCATTGCATTGTGCAAGTGCAACCAATCAAAATTCCTGTAATAAAATCAAATTTTCATTGCTTTTGTGAGCATTTGCTTTTGGGGTTTTTTTTTTTTTTTTTTTTTTTTTTGGAAGGGCTTGCGGGTCGAGTCGGTTGGTTTCGTGGTGCAGTTAGCTGTTTGCCTGTGCTTTGGACTCGGTCTGGTGGCTCTGCATTTTGTTGGTGCTAAATATAACACAAAGGCTGCTGTTTCATCTTTCGTTTTTAACTTACACACGCACACACCAGCACACACACAAACATGCCGTTATTTTGTACGCCTCTACTCAAAGAGTTTTTAGCCTTGTGTGTAGAGTTTTCGTTTTTCTTTTCTACATTTTATACTCTGTACCTATTAAAATTCAGTTAGAAGAGCATATTGACTACTTTCGCCTAAGAAAGTTTTTGTTACAGGCGAAAAGCTTTATTTCTGTGCTTCTATGGTATAAATATACCATTTTGCAGGGCCTTGTAGATCTCTAGCTATTGAAGCACATCGATCTCTATTTTGTCAGCTTAGACATTCCTTTACATCTCAAATGTCAATTATATTTTGTCCTTTTTATTGATTACTCATCTGAGGCTTACATATGTTGGTCGTTTGCATAAGAAGGCTATGACAGGTTTTAAACTGAAGCCTGTTAAGTTTTAAGCGATTATATAATTGGGATTACAGAAAACTTAAGAATAAAACTTACCTGTCACTTGTTAGTACCCCAAAGGCACCGAAATTGTTTTTGAACTTGAAGCTTGATTATATAAAGCGAGTCGGTATTAAACACAGGGTATAGCCCTGTCGGCGACTGTAAAATACTTAAGCTTGTTGCTACTTTTACAGAAACAATCGTTTTATTCCACTTTTTTAAGGGGGGCCGGGGGGTTTGTTAACCTTTAAATGAAATTGCTTGTTATCTTTGATTGCCAACGTTTTGACAGCTATTTTGGTAAAGCGGTTCATGTAAAAGTTGTTGATATTCTATTTCAGAGTTGAGTAAAAACAATTTATGTGTATATGAACTTCTTAATAATTAAGTGTTATTTGCTGTATGTATACAAATTGGTGGTTCCACTTTTCCTTCAACATTTTTAAATCAGCAGCATTTAAAGCATTTGCTAAGTCAGCTATGCCCCAATTGCTTTGCTTTTTGTGATTGAAATTCGGGTCGTTTTTTTTTTTTAACTTTTAGAATATATATACACATATGTGTACATATAAAGCTATGTCTGCATGTAAATGCACGTCTATGTAAAAAGCGGCCTTCGACGTGCGGCTGGCCAACGGCCCAGCCCGGTAGACTAGACCCAATTCCAATAGAAAGTGCAAAATTTGAAACAATAACTTTTACGCATGTCAGTGTAAGCTCACATAGAAAATTTGCATGCGCCGCACAGCACAAAAGGGAAATACGCACACAGACACAAGCACTTATACAGACACACAACCAGCAGCAACAACAAGAGCATCAAATTGGTTTGAGAAAAAAGTCGAGTTAAGTTTTTCACAGCAAAAATGCAGCCGCTCAAAGTGGAAATTTGTTTGAGTTTGTTGTAACGAAGCTTTAGCCGAATATATATATGTTATGTACACAAAAATTCATACACAGAGCTTTCTTTTTGTTCCCAGATTATTGTTTTTATTTTTTTTATTTTGCTTCGTGGTTATTTTTTTTTTTTTATGTTTTTTTGGCCGTTTTTTTTTTGCGCAGCTTTCTGGTTGTAGCAAAATGGCTTTGTGTAATTTGCACTTCATTAGAGTACGCGAGCGGAACATTTTAAATTGCTGAAATGAAATTAAAGTTTTCAATAATCATAAAAGATGCAAAGCGTCCGAAATTCCGGCATACGTTTCGTATAAAAATTATTTTCATATTCAATCAGCACAATCACAATTACCTACATTTTTTTTTTTTTTTTGGATAATAGTCTATTTTGATGCTGGGCTTGGCAACCTATCCATTTGCTAGGACCTCCGGATATCGAGACAGCAAAAGAAATATTTATAATTCATTTTATTATGTATTTTATTTTGCAAAAGTTTCACGAATATATAATACAATATTATGAATTAAATTTCAATTCAACATTTAATTTAAAACAGTTTTTTGTAGTTTAATATAACATTTGGTTGTACGTATACGTAATATGCCTGGCTTCACCCACACTTAACGAGGTAAATTTGTAATCATTTTTGAAAAAGAAATATTAAGAGGCTGTGACACGTTTTTTCTTAGATGCATTTTAAAATAATTCGTATACAATTCTTCTACGCGCAGCAAAAATGTCTAGCCAAAAATTTTCCATGATTTTCTTATTGTTAAGTTATTTATATGCAATTCTACGACAAATAAGCAAGTGGGGTACTAAACATCGATTGCACTGACAACTAAGATTGTTGCACATTGCGTAT